TACGTCGTGGTTTTTTTCAATAGGCCTGATGATAACAGCCATATGAGATTTTATGCACTAAGCTAAATGTGTGTGTGGACAATAAGTAAATTAATAAAGGCTGGAAACGTTAGAGATGGCAGGGGAACAAGAAAGATATAGGGAAAGAAGGGAGTCAGAGCAACATTGTAGAATGACCAAACTCCAGATCGTGGACCCCCTAATACAGTCAAACTCCTTTTTTACTAAGAGAAAGCGTCATAATCTTCTGTCTGTATTTGAGATATTTATTGGTGAAATCAATTTGCTAAAATCTATATCTATGCCTACCATAATTCACTGCTTCCAAAACTCTAAAGTGGCATTAAATGGCTAACAACACTTGTTAATGAGAATAATATGTGTTAAGTAATTTTTCAGGATCCCGTAAAAACAGATATAGGTTAATTCTACCTTTCTAGAATAAACGGCACTTCCCAAAATGGAATCTGTCGAAAATTAGATAATTGTAAGCATTTAAGTCGAATAACTGGTTTCCTATGTATCTAATCTATTTTAACTGACAATCTAAAAGTCTAACTATTCTCAGTAATCTTACTTATGCTTGGTACACAAATATATTTGACACGAGTAATGTGCTTTATTAAAATGAATCTGGAGAAAATAGCGATTGATGTTTATGAAAGCAAAGAAAGCCCGTTCTCTTTAATTGGCTGATGTTATCTAAATCCTTTCTTGTATGCCGATAGACTCAAAACTCTTTAAGGCCTATTTTGGGCCTTTTATTGATCTTTTCGACTTCCGTATTGCATCGATTAGTTATGAAGAGCACATTTTTACCGTTTTTTAGGAGAATCTGTGCTTCATTTGGATTCATCTTATTCAGAGCGCCCATTCCCCGTAAACTATAGCATATGTATTTTATCGGCTTCGACTAATTGATAATGGTAATAAAATTAAATGCCTAATTATGAGATTTTCTTTAAAAAAATTTTTAGATTCGAATTGATCTTATTTTTGCGATTCAGGCGAATTTAATAAGAAACTTTAGAGAACGTATCAATTGATGGCTCTATGCTTATAATACTCAAGCATACTTCCAGAACTAGATACTTAGGGGATTGCATCCTCACAATTTCCCATTCGTTTGTTAAAATTAACTAGAGTAAATTCTTTTTTTTGTCGTTGATAGAATGCGATGTAGTTATTTGACCACACAATATGTATGCGTATCCATACTTATGTTGTTATACTATTTGAAAACAACTGAATTATGTAAAAGTTATAACTTCGAAATATTGCTGGCGGTTTAAATCGGTAGCTTTGGAAGAAACAATTGTGCATACTATATTAAAAGGAAATGGGTTTCGAAGACCTCCTTGATTATTTAGTGTGACATGGCCTTTCATTTCAAAGGAAAAGTTAATCAAGCGGAACTTTTCAATTGGTCTCACCGGAAACCAAAGGAGGATTGCTCTCGTGCTATCCAAAAGTCTGAACGCCCCTAAGGCAGTTCCTCGGTTTCAGGCTAGGCCAATTCATAAGTTCCTTCTAACCAATTTTTCCTACGAAATAAAAATTGATATCACAATTGTGCATACCTGTTTTGCACAGCTTTTACTGAGATAATATTTAACGAAGAAAATAGCTCTACATCAATTGAGTTATTACTTATGATATACTCCTCCCTTTGGCGAGAAAGGTGGCGATCTCTGTCCTAACTTTCATTATAGCAAGATAAATGACAGAATATGAAGTATTGGCATGGCTAGCAAGGATTAGCACGAGCTAAAGATTAAATAATTAAACAAAAGATTGCTTAGATTCGGTTGGATTCAATTGTGCTGAGTCCCACCTGGACCTAGTTTGTCAGTTTACTAATCTTAAGTCAGAAGGAGACATTAATCAATCTTGTTGTACACTTATGCCAGTTTCGATTGGCTTCCTATAAGTGTAAAAATGGGACTGCTCACAATGAATAAAAGAAGATGCCTTTTTTCAATGAATCACATTTTACTATGAACTGCAAAAGACCATTCTCATCCGGATTGGAATACAGTACAAGCCTTACCCAGGCCTCAGTAGCAAAATGTACGGTAGCCTCATCGAGGACGGTTCCAAAAATGCAGGATGGACATAGGACATTATAGCAGTAGATGAATTACGGGGAAGTTCTTCGAAGCTGTCAAGGCAACACGAATAGGCTGTAAAAATAGTGTCAAAAGCAACTATCTGGGCCTATAAAGTCAGAGGCGTTTAAGTCAATCAATTCCGATCACTATTTTTTTATATTTCACGGTGAAGACGGGTATTTGGTATTTATAGATCAATAAGTAATCCGACACAATAAATCAACTGCAAGCAAATCAGGCTGGATTAATAAATGAAACCAATCCTAAGACCATAATACAGAAAGAAGTTAACTAATGCGGATGTTTGGTAAAGAAAGTTTAAAATATGTCCGGTTGGAAATAAACCTTAAGGGAGTCATATATCGATTTCAGCTTTACATCCGACAGTCATTCGGTGTCGATTAAGCCATCTTCGTGCATGGCTTCAAGAAAAGCAGTAGTGGTTCGCAAACAGAGATACTGAACAAGCCGGAATCATCTACCAACGGAATTACAAGGCAGAGTTTCTCTGTAATTTAGGCAGAGGGTTTCTAAGATAAACCATGCAAATTAAAAAATTTTGCCACTATATAAGAGTAATAAATTTCTATTACTGGTTATTTAATTCACAAAATCCATGAAATACCTACCTCATGCGTTTCGAAACGCTTCTTTGCCATGTCCAGCCGATCAAGTAACCGTTGGTGAATCCGCTCCACCAAAGCTTCGCCCTCTGGCGCTGGATTAGTAACGCTGTGGCTGCCAGTGCTGCTAACTCCAACACTCGGTTCGCCACCGATTCTACCAGAAAATGATAGCCTGGCCAACTCAGCCAGATGCTGAATGTCAGAAGTCTCCTCGACTGCAAAAAAATCAGAGTCTTTAATCCATTCGACCTGTTTCTGAACATCTTCATCATCCTCTTCGTCTTCCTCTTCTTCAGTGTACTCACCCTCTTCTCCCGCTTCTCGCTCCAACACACCAAGAGTTTCTTTCTGTTGCTCTATAGCAGGTTCTCCAGACATTTCGGTACTTCTCGTTGCTGAACTTGGATCTTTTAGGAGTGGCGAGTTTCTCGTCTCTACTCCGCTACCTAACAAAGATGAGGTAATACGACGATTTCCATCACCCCGCTTGCGCCATCGTTTTCGTGTCACCAGGTTGTCCTCGCCACTATTTCTTATCAAATGCTCTTCCATTCCCAACATCCAAGCAAGTGTGGTCTCCATGCGCGACTCGAATTCAGCAATTGGTACCAGTCGAGCACTAGTCAGTTTGTGAGCTCGTGCTACAGCCGGCCGGGCAACACTTTCTTCATCATTTTCGGAACCATCCAATTCAGATCCGGCAGCTGAACCCATCTCGGACGAAGAGGCCGTAACTGATGAGCAAGAGGAAGTGGCGCCTTTAGCGAATTCGAGGAGACCCAGTTCAGATGCCGTGGTGGAGGAACAGTGTGAGGGCGAAGTGGCCACCGTAATGGAGACACCAGGTTGAGGCAGGCTACCGCAACGAAACATGCTATCCTATCAGGAATCAGCAGAAATTTATGGGTATATTATTTGAAAGAAACTAAAATAAATATGAGATGTATTCACCTAATTTAGTTTAAGGTGATGAAGGACTAATAAAAGAAAAATGTTCCCACATTGATATGAGTTGAGCCGACGCTTCCATTCAATTTCACATAGCCCTGCTTTCCCAAAAGTTGTTATCATTCAAGGTGGACTGCAGTTTCGACCTCGCATTGATCTTATCAACACCCTCAGCGGGAGTCAAACCGCGACAGTGCAGGATAAGAGCTTGACACGCTAACCACTCGGCTACACTGCCACGAGCGCATTTTTGGGTCATAGGGCAAATGTGCATTTTCGAGGAAGGCCAGGCCTTTTTGCCATATATTCTTGTGGTGGGATTGTCGATGATGAAAACGTATATTTG